GCTTCTTCTTTTCTTATATAAACCTCTATAGTCTTACTCTATAATATATAAGAATTAGGCTTATATTTTAGCTAGCTAGATTAAAAGATTATAGTATTTACTATATAATAAATATGCCTAATTATAGTTAAATGGCTAGATTGTAGTCACGTGACCGCAGTTAACTATAAGCCGCATATATATATACTAATATATATTATATACTCTTACTTATAAAGCTTTCTCTTATATCTATAGAACTTCCCTTAAGCTTACTAGATATTAGAATAGTAGTATATAATATGCGAGAGTTTTGGTATTTCTTATATAACTTGGATTTTTAGGGAGCCCTGAGAGCTAGCTAGAGCCTTGAGAATTCCTCTTATCTTACTTCTTCCGAGCTTTAAAAAATTGTAATAAAAGCCCCTTATATTTCAGAACTACTAAAATGCAAAAGAAAGTACTTAAACTACTTCTCTATTATCCTAAGCTTAGCCTTAAGAATTTGGATATAATTGTATTCTAATGCGCGATTTTCTAGAAAAGAGAGATTCTGGTATTTCTTATATAACCCGCTTTTTCTATAGAGTCTCGAGAGCTAACCGCTTAGGGTAATTCGAATATAAGATAATATAGAAGAGAATGAGTTTAGGGCTACTCCGCTAAAATTATTACTGGCGGCCCTATATAAGCTCCGGGGCTAGTAATAATTTTGCCCTAAACTTGTTCCGAGTAAGTAGAATTTTATAAAGGGCTATTATAGCTATATCCGGGCTTATAAGCTCGCCTGCTATAGTATTAAACTATATGGAAGTTTTAGTATTCCCATATAGACCATATTATATAATAGTATCTATTTTCTCCGGAAAATAGCATTAATATAAAAGAGAACGAGTTTAGGGCCGCTTTACTAAAATTATTAATTGGCGGCCCTATATAAGCTCCGGGGCTAATTAATAATTTTGCCCTAAACTTATTCCGAATGAATTTGGAATTAAAGGAAATATATTATATAATAAAGACTCTGGCTAAAGTTATATAATATAGTAAAGGCTTTTAGCTAAATATATAAATTAGATATAAACTTTTTATAGACTCTTTACGGATAATATAAGAAGGAAAATAGCTTATAAGTATATAAAGTTACTTATAAGTAAGTTAAAAGCTAAGTAAGACCTTATAATATTTCTGGATATATTATATTACTTATATAGTCTATATTAAGAAATAAAAGAATATAAAGCCCTACTTATAAAGTAACTTATAAGGCAGCTATATAGAACTAGCTATAAGAAAAAACCGGTAATTATAAATTTACTTTTACTACCTCAAATAACTGGCTTTATAACTTATTAATAGTTATTATAAAGAATAAAGCAAGTAGAAACTACTTATAGGAAAGTATAAAAGATAATTACTAATCTATAGACTAAAGCTTAATCTATAGAATTGTCTGTAATTAGCTATTAAAGTTATTATCTAGTAGCTATATCCGAATTAAGAACCTTTTAAAGCTATAAATTAATATTCGTAACCTGTTATAAAGCCCTTTCTATAGATAGAGATTTCGTAAAAGTATTATAGATATACTAATCTTAAGTTATAGCTTAAAGAGAGGCAGATCCGGTAAATAGATACTTTATAAAATCTTTAGAGGTAATTCTATAATCTTAGAATCTGCCTTATTTATATTAGCCAAATCTATTATAAAATATATCTATTTCTAGCCAGGAAATATATCCAGAATTATTTAATTAAGCTTATAGACTATATTATTTAGGGTTAATAGAATTGCCTATTTACTAAAGGCCTAATAGTTATATAGGGCCTGTAAGAGTTATTCTTATAGATAGATATAATTAATTAGGTCTATAAATAACTAGATATATAGAATAAAAAATAGAAGTATAATCTGCCTATTTAAAAACGGATTATATAGCAGATTACTAATCTAGTCTATAAAATCCTGCTTAAACAAATTATTATAGACCTATATATTAATCTGTAATAATAACTAATAGAGCCATAGCCAGATCTATATTTACTATAAGCAGGCCCATACTATATTAGCCTATAAACTATATAGAACTACTAGTAAGATTTGAATAAAGTTTCTCCCGAAAATTACAGGTATTTCTCTAAAGAGAATATTATTTGCTTCTGACTATAAATTGACTATTAGCCGGTATACTACCTTAAAATAGTACTTATACTATATAGGTATTTTATTCTAGATAATTAGATCTATAAATTATAAGAGAGCCCCGAGCCGGCTTATTTTAGTAATTATATTTACGAATAACTTATTAAGCTTAGAGATATATATCTGTCCGGAAGAAGAAAAGCTATAATATCTATTAATACTATATATAGAACTATTTTACCTTAGCTATAGTAATAGTAGTAGAGGGTCTTATAAAGAAATATTTACTAGTATTACCCGGACTTTATAAGTAGAAGTAAGTAATCTATAAATTATCTGTAATTACTATTATAATTATCTAAAAGCAAGAGTACTAGTCTATATTTAGCTAGGCTTATATTATAGTTACTAGTAATATCTTATAGATATAATTGACTCGTAAATTAGCTATATAGTAGCTTATAGTCTAATTAAAGATATTCTCAGGTAAAGTAATATCCGCAAGTATTTACTAGAGATCTATAAGGCTGAGACCGAGTAAAAAGAGGCTATAATTATAGTAAGGGTTAATTAAAAGTAGCAGAAAGTTAATTAACAGATTGCGGGCAAGCTTATAGGCCAAGCCATTATAGAAATACTTCTTATACCAGTTCTAGATTACTTATATATCTGTAATTAGTTACTAGCAAATATTTATAAGAAAGAGTATTTATAAACTATAGTTAGTTATTAATCGGATTGCCTTATTAAAGTATTAGAACTACTTCTAATTATTCTCTACTAAGCTATAAATAATACAGATAATATAATATATAAAATAACAAATGCCTTTAACTAAGTAAAGCTTATTAAAGAACTATAGACTATATATAACTATTAGTAAGAGCTATAAGTAGAATTACTTGCCCGAAACTAGGCTATAGTAATAAATATAGCTAATACTATATTCTTACTTATAGTACTTCTATATCCGGATTTTAGTAACTTATATAAAGTATTATAGGAACTTGTAATATAGATACTAGTAGCTATTCTTATATATTATATTATATTTAAAGAAGGCTATTAAGATTAAGCGGGTATTTATAGTCTAATCTGTAATCTATTCGGATAAGAGGTTAGCTATAAAGTAGACTATATATTATTTAGAAAGGTAAATTGCAAGATATTAAACTAGAGAGAACTTCTAATATATTAGATATTTAAATAGGTACTAGAAAGCCTTTATAGGGCCTATATATCGAGTCTGAAAGTACTAGATAATCTTATTATTTGTTTCTGAGATAGTAATAGTTATATAGTCTATTTCTTTATAGATATATTTATAAATATATTTAATTACTTATATAAATATATAAATCTTAATATTAATATATAAGTAGAACTTCTAGAGGAGATACGAATTATATAAAATAATCTAGTAATTATTACAAATAATTTTCTGGCCTGAAAAGCCTAGTTTATAAACTATAAATATATAGCTATTATTCTAGTACTAGTATTCGAAATATCTATTCTTATAGATAGTTATTATAGCCGTAAATACTTTAGGGAATCTTTTCTAGTATATAAATAGAGCTATAGGTATACTATAGATTATATATAGGGCTTTCGGATTATTATTAAGGCTATATAGCCTATAAGATATCTGGCTAGTAATTATAGCTATAAGTTTACTTATAGAATTCTATAACGGGTCTGAAAGCTTAATATAAATAACCTTATTAACCAAATTAGAAATTAAGAAAATAGTATTTCTCCTAAAAAATAAAAGCAGATATATATATAGAAGGCTATACTTCTAGTACTTGATTATATAAATATAGCTTATATACTATCTGAAAAGATAGTTTTTAAGATTTGCAAGAAACTCTTTTATTTTTAAAATAAAGATCCGGTAAAGGAGATCCGGATAATTAATTACTTATTATCTATTTAAGAGGTAATCTGTAATCTCAGGCTAGTATAGGTTAGCTATAAAGGTAATAAAGAAGCTTGGCTTATTAAAGTACTATATAATAGCTATTAAATCTTAAAAGAGCTATTATATAAAGTAATTACTATCTATAAAGCTTAATAGAAAAATAAAGTAATAGCTAATATTACTTATATAAATATCTTTACGGATTAAAGTATTTATAAGACTTATATATATATTCGTATAGATATTCTACTAATATAAGTAAAGCTAGTTAAGTAAAATTATTTTATAGATAATATATATATTAATAATATATTACTAGAAAAGATAGCTAGTATAAAAGAGTAAGAAAAAAACTAGATAGATATAAAGGTAGTATTAGTAAAAGGCCTGCTATTTAAGCTATATTTACTAGTAGGTTCCGGTATAGTTCTATAACTATAACTTATAATACTAGCCCGAATTATTATATAGGAAAAATAAAATATAGTAGAGTAATATATATACTATATATATAATATTAACTATATATATCTATAAATATTTATAGTCTGTCTTATATATTATTAGTACTAGATTATAATAGCTTATATTTATATATTTGTTCGGAATTAGAATAGTAATTTTATTACTTATAGAGAGGTTCTTATAATAATAATCTATATTTAACTTAAGAATTAAATATATTTATAAGTTAAATAAAATTCGGAAATCGGTTTACTAGCTTATAAGACGCTTATAGGCCGTTTTATAAACCATAATAAATAAGTTATAGTTTATAAGTATATTTATAAGCTATAAAAAAATTATATAATTTAAGTAAGGGAAGTTAGTAGTTTATATATTAGTTATAAAGAGTAGGTTATAGAAGAAAAGCTATATAAAGAAGAGTTTGGTATATATAATAAGCTATAACAGGCCTTAGAAATAAAAGAGCTTACTATAGATCTAAAAGTACTAGATTTTATAGGAGAAATTAATCCGGATATTCTTCTTATAACTAATTAATATAAAGGTAAAAGTATAATTATATATTTGGATATTAGTTCGGAAGGTCCGGTAAAGCGGATTATTACCTATAAAGAGATAAGAGAGATATAGAGGAGGCTTGCAAATTAGAGGAAGTATTATATTGCCTTTCTTATAATAGGCCTTAAAGTAATTATCTATATAGCTAAAATAGAAGGCTCTGCAAGCTATATAGTAACCTGTAAGCAGACTAGTTATATATATAAAAGCTGGCTAGAAGCGGGAAAGAAAAGCAGGAGGCTATATAGAAAATAGATTAGTAAAAGAATTCTTTATAATATAAATAGGGGCTGTAATAGATAGTTAATGGATCTGTTACTAGCGCTATAGAGCTGGCTTGTCTATAGAGATGTCTATAACCGACTATTATTATTACTAGAAAATAGAGAGGGTATTTAGATTAAGTTCTTATAAGGCAGAATACTACTAGATATAATTAGTAGTATTTCGGGCCTATTAACTAGTTAATTAAGCCAGAAAAGGGGGAGAATATAAACTCTATAGTAAGAGCAAGTCTTATATAGCTTAGCCCGCTCTATAATAAAGTCAGAAGCAGGCCGGTTTTACCTATAGGAAGTATAAAAGCAGGGAAAGTCTATAGTAATAAAGAGAAGAAGAAGAGAAAAGTAATATAAGGCTAGTTTTTTTTCTTAGTGTCTTCTATAAAACTACTAGCCTCAGATTTTCCTCTAAGCTTTAAAAAATCGTAATAAAAGCCTCTTGCATTCCAGAACTACTAAAATAGTAAGAAAGATACTTGAGCTTCTTTTCTCTAATCTCTAGCTAAGTACTAAGAATTTGAATATAACTGCATTTCAATATATAATTACCTAGAAGAAAGTAATTCTGGTATTTCTTATATAACCAGTTTTTTTCTAGAAGCCCTAAAAGCTAACTGCTTAGGGTAGCCTAAATATAGAATAATATAGAGAAGATAATAAAAGAATAAAAGAATAAATAATTAAATAATAAGCTTATATATAAAAACTATAACTTTTTATATTAGGTAAGACATATATATAAGCCTAGTATTATTTTTATAAAATATATAAAAATCTTATATTTTTTATTTCTTATTTATTCTCTTCTTCTTTTTTAATAACTTTTAAGCCTTTATCTTTATAATACTTAATACTTATATCTTATATATATTTGGCCCTTTTATCTAAAATTTTATTTCTTTTTACTAGGCTCTTTTAATTAGTTATATTAGTAAGATATTATAAAATTAATATAATAATATAATTTACTAGAAATAGGAAATCGGAAATAAATATAAAATAAAGTTATTTATATAAATTCGAAATTATTATATAAATACCTTATTAAATTAGATATTACTCGAGAGAAATATCTAATAATTAATATAATATATTTTTAGTATATATATAAATAATAAGAAATTACAAAAATTAAATAAATTAAAAGAAAATTAAATTCTATTAACTTTATAATAAAATTAAAGTTATTAAATGCCCTTAAATATCTAATTAATATAAATATAATACAATTAAATATAAAGAAATAAATCAAGTATAAATAAGAATATATTAGATAAGAAATAAATATATAATATAAAAATATAAAATAAAAATATAAAATAAAAAATATATATAAATATATAAAGTATTTGAGAAATCTGGCACTAGGCCGAATTAGGAAATTAGTATATAATTAGAGAAAAATACTATTTTTCGCGTTTTTAAAAAGGTTTTAATATTAGTATAATTATTACTTTAAAAGTTATATATATAGTTATAAGACTCAAAAATAATAAGATATAAGTATTATAGTTCAGGTTTTAATATTCTGGTTACCTGATATAGTTACCTAATAGCTAGTATAGAAATGTATATAGAGATATTTAGGATATTAAGCCTATAAAAGGCTTAGAGTATTACGGATATACTTTATTCTTATAGCCTTCTATATTCTAGCTTTCCCTTCTTTAGCTTTAAATCGTCTTTATAAAGAACCTTTTACTTTGCTTTTCAAGCCCTAAATACTATACTTATAATAATAAGTAATAAAATATAAGTAATAAAATATAAGATATAAGATATAATTATATAACTACGCGTTTTATAAGTAACTTAACTAATAAACTAGACTTTATTAGACTTAGCAAATTTAGAAATTATATATTAATATTATAATACTATAATTCTTACTTCTAAATATTAATTACTTTACTAATTTATATATTAAATATTTTATATATATTATATAATAATATTATATATTATTAATAAACTAATAATTAAATTTTAAATAAAAAAACAATTTAATTATTTACTTCTTTTATAAAAAAACAAATTATAAGAATTTTATTAAAATAAATATAAATAAAGAATTTCTAGGCTCTTATTATAATAATAATTTTTAAGTAAATATATATTAGAAAATTATAATATATTTAAGCTTAATTATTATAAAACTAATAAATAATTTTATTATTATTAAACCTTTATAATAACTCGAAATAAATTATTTATTATTTATTACTAATATAATAATAATTAAAATAACTAGTAATTTAATAAGCTTATATAAGGTATTTATTAATAAGTAATAAAATAATAGAATAAATTAGTAAATTATAAAACTATAATATTAAATTTAGTATAAAACTAATCTCTGTCTTTCCTATAAGGTTCAGGGAAGCCTCTGCTATATAAAAGGCTCTAATAATATATATATAATTAGAGAACTATAGGCCTAAAGCCTATAATATAATTAGTAATAAGATAGTAATATAAAAGGGTTACTAATTTCCCTAATTAATACCCGAGGTTTATTATATATAACCCTATATATATTATAACTATATCCCTCTTTAAGAATCTTATTTATAAGATCTATTAATTCATTTTAGTAAAATATTTAATTAATTATTTATTTAATTGAAATAAACTTCTAGTATTTTAAGAAGTAGTTTTACTAATATAATCTAAATAATAAATATAAAAAATATCTAATTAGATTAGAGCTAAGTAAATAGAAAGAATTAGTAATTATATTCCAGATATAAAGGCTAGCCGGTAATTGCGATTTCGTTTAGAAACTAAATATTCTTATTAGCTTAATTTAAAATATTAAGATATTACCTTATAAAATTAATACTATTTATTAGATCTTATATTAAAATAATCTAAATAGCTTTATAAAAAGAATTTAATAAAATATTTATATAAGAAACCTATATAAATATTTCTGAGGCTCTAGAGATTATTTATAAACTTCTAGAAATATATATTAATTAATTATACTAATTTTTAATTAGAACTAGTATAAAAATAGATAATTAATTTAGATAGTTCTCTATCTCTATAAAAGAATCTCTTTATATTACTATATACTTTCTTCTTTCTAATAACTATATATATAACTTCTTTTATCTTTGCTTTTTAGCCTCTTTTTTTACTCTTCTCTAAATTTTATTTAATTGTTTTTTAATTAATTTTATAATATCTGGCTATATTATTTATTAAGATACTAAATATAAAAATAACTTTATAGTTTTCTTTTCTATTACTAGTAAATACTTGAAATATTTCAAGTATTTGCTTATTAATTCCTTTATTTTATATACTATAGTATCTAATAAAAAGAACTATAACTATTATAATAAGAATTCTAAATCTTATATATTAGTAAGTTCTTTAGCTTTAATATTTATTAAAGCTAATACAATTTCAGATTTCTTACTGCCTATTAGAGGCTTACCGGTTCTAGAAAGATACTATTATAACCTTTAAGAAATTCCTTAAAGTATATTCTAAATAGTATTATACTATTAAGAATAAGTCTACTAATTGGGTTTTTAAGAACTAAAAGAAGTCTAATAAGCTTCGGAATTCTTCTTCCTGTTTTAATAAAGCTAATAAGAATAGTACTTGAATTAGTATTTCTAAAATAAGTTTTTCTAATATATTTAGATACTTACTAATTCCTTAAAGAAATATTATAAAGTTTATCTTTAAGGTATTAACCTTATTACTAAGATTTCTATTAAGATTTTTAAGCAAACTACTAGTAGTATTTCAAGTACTAATAATATAATATTTATAGCTATTCTATTATAATAAAGTAATATTATAATAGTAATAAAAAGCTTAAATTGAGCTAAAGGCTATATACCGGGCTAAAAGCACTGGCTATACGCTAAGTCACGTGCAGTGGCACCACGTGACTAGTACCACGTAATATATTCGAAATCTAACTTTAGAAATTCGAGCCTTCTATAAAACTAGTATTTCATATATATTATATAATAGTACTATATATTACTAGTAAACCAATACTAATTAGTTTATATATATAGATTAGATAGAAAGAAGAATTAAGCTATATTTACTTAAGATTCGATTTCTTAGAAGTAAAGCTATTATTCTATATTAAAGAGGAAATAATTATTAATTCTTTATTTATAATTCGGTTTTATAGAAAGAAAAAATACTTGATTTTACTAAAGTCCGACTAAGCTATATTGAAAAAGGAAAACAATAGTTGCTTTTATTTATAATTCGGTTCTATAGAGAGAAAAAATACTGCTTTTTACTAATTACTAAACGGTTACCTATTTAACTATTTAACTATTTTATAAAACCACTTTCTATATAAAAAATCACTCTCTTTATAACTACTTAAATAATAAGCCACTTGAATGCCTGAAGTTTTTAAGCTTTAGAACTTTCGAGCCCTCCCTGAATTATACTCTTCTAGAATTATAATATTTCACTTCCTAAATTTCTTATTATAGACGGAATTTTTACCTCGAATATAATACTTTCTATAAACTACTTATCTTATAAACCACTCTTCTTTCTATAAATCTACTCTTCTTATATATTACTATATCTCGAACTAGATATAAGCCTATAAAATATATAATAGCGGAATCTATTATAGTAAATAATTTCTTTATTGAATTTATCTAATCTAATTACTTTATATAGGATAATAATTTCAAGAAAATAATAAAGAAATAAAGATATGAAATTAATTTAGATATCTGAGTTTCTAAATATTAAGCTATTTTAATATATTTTTTATAAGATAATTAATAATATTTTTTGAAAACTATTTAGATATAACTTTAAGAATTTTATTTATTAAAGAAACTTTAA